TCTCTTTCACTCTGTCCATCTCTGGTCAAATTAAAATAAGTAAATAAATAAATAAAGTAAAATAATTTTAAAAATAAATTAAAAATAAAAACAATAATAATAAATATAATTAAATAATTATTTTTTAAACTTTTTTAAAAATTATTTTTTTAACTTTATTTATCATTATCATTTTCAATTTGACCATAAAGTGACAGAGAGAGAGAAGAGTGAAAGTGAGAAAGCAAGCTGCCAGGTTCAGAACTTCAACTGTGATCGGCCATATGGGAGTCCAGCATCCTTAACCACCATGCATCTGCCAACCCCAAATAAATAACTCCTTAAAAAATAAATAATGTTGCTCTGGGCCAGCAGGTAGCTGGAGGTTAAGATGACTGGATTCCACCTGGCCAACTGTGCGGTTGGAGTCCCGTACCTGGCAGCTCGAAAATCATGATGGGTGCGTGTGCATGTATGCCCAAAATTCTGAGAAGAGAGTAGAGAAGGGATTGAGGTGTGGCCATACCCCCTGGAGTTGATTTCTCACTTTCTCTATCTCCCTCTGGCATGCTCATGTGCCCTGTAGCAAATCTAAAAAAAAAAAAAGAAAAAGAAAAGGAATGATGTTGCTTTGAGGTGATTGATAAGGAAATATGATTAGGAAATCATAATTTCTTTTAGTTTTTGCCATAGTGTGCATGTACTCACCAGGGAGACAGAGAGAGAGAAAGAGAGAAATCACCCACCAGGGAAAATGGCCTGGCTGCAGTCCTTTCTCCTCTCTTCTCCTCTCAGGATTTTGGGTAGGCACATGCCCACACACCCAATATGATTTTCAAGCTTCTGGGGATGGGACTCAAACACATAGTACATCATGTCGAATCCAGTTGCCTTAACCTCTATACCACCTACTGGCTCACTGTGAAATCTTAATGGGAAAAAAAGGGTTACAAAGAAGGAGGGAGGTGTGATGCCCATATTTTATCCGTAGATAATTATGGGACTTTCCAGTGTGGTAACTGCTGGTCCCCTATTCTTCACTTTATAGATGAGTAAAATGTAAGGTGTGATAATAGCCAGTGGAAGGATAAATTCATCCATTTAAATGAATGAATATGAAATAAAATTAAATTCAGTTCCTAATTTGCACTGGCTACATTCAAGCTCTCTGTGGCTACTGTATGCGATGGCACCTCTCTCCACCACCGTTATCACAGAAAAGTCTGTTGGGCAGGACCAGCAGATGGCATAATAGTTGTTTCGCTGGACTCCCAGATAGTCGACCACAGTCTGAGTCCTGGACCCGGTGGCTTAAACTCACGCCAGGCGCATGTGTGTGCGTGCATGCCCAAGATCCCGAGCGGAGAATGGAGGAGAGGGAATTGAGGCGTGGTCATCCCCCCTGGGGGGTGATTTCTGGCTTTCTGTCTCTCTGTCTCTCTCATGAGCATACGCTCCCTATAGTGAAAACCTCTCCCCTCCAAAAAAAAAGAAAAAAGAAAGTTCTGTTGGGCAACTCGGGAAGTCTAGTCACTAGAGGTAATAGTAACAGTGACTACTTCTGAGTTGTGAAGTTGCAGATAATCTTTCCCTTTTTAAAAAAGTTTTTTTGGTTATGTCTCTGTAGTAGTTAAACTCAAATTTTTTAAGGATTTTTTTGAGAGATTTTTGCTATAGGGCATTGTGTGCTCGCCAGAGAGAAAGAGAGAGAGAAAGTGAGAAATCACCCCCCAGGAGGGTTTGCCATGCTGCAATCCCTTCTCCATTCTCCTCTTGGGATTTTGGGCACACATGCACTTGTGCCTGGCATGAGTTCTAAGCCACCAGGTCCAGGACTTGAACCACGATCAACTATGTGGGAGTCCAGCATTGTAACTATAATATCTACTGGTCCCTTAATTCTTAAATTTTGATGACTTTGTGTTTCTTTCTGTAATCTGAAAACAAAAATAACACTCTATTTTACAAAAATAATAAACATTGCATTTATAAGGGTTCATGGATTTTTTTTTGTTTGTTTGCTTTCTGCAGTGAGCTGAATGCCAAGTCAAAGGAACTACACCTGCAGATTTCAGAGGATAGGGGATCCTCAGAAGGTGAGTGCTGAGCAGGTGGATGGTGCCCTGATACCTGGGAAGGTCACCCAGCCACCCTCACCATGACCTGGGGAATATTGGTGGGCTCAAGTGAGGAGGGAGACCCAGCAGAGGAGGCGGGGCCCCTTCCCGAAACCACATCAGATTTCCCCAAGGAAATATTTGGTCAAAAGTCAATTTCAATTATTAACAAGGTGAGACATATTTGGGAACGTGTTCAAACTAGTTTTTTTGTTTGTTTGTTTTATGTTCATTCTAAACCCTCTGAGCCTCAATAGATCTTTTAAAAAAAAATTTTAACCATGATAAAATACACACAACATAAAATTGACCATCTTCACGATTTCTGCGTGTTTGGTTCCGTGGCATTCAGTGCGTTTGTGGTGTTGCGCTACCACCACCATCATCCATCTCCAGAACTTTTTCGTCTTGCAGAATGGACACCTGCCCCAGGTTCTATCATACATGAACTCCCCACCCCCCTCGTCCTGCACCTAGCAGCCACCATTCTACCTCTGTCTCCATGGATTCCATCTGGCTTCTCCTTATAAAGTAAGCCACAGTGGCTTAAACCGGACACGAGGTTCAGACACAAGAAAGCCAGTTAGAGGCGAAGTCGCAGAAGTGAGCGTGGACCTGTGCATGTGGGTATAGATCAGTACTTTCAGTATTTATTGGATTCTTATCAATCCCCAAAATATACCCAAACTGGGAAGGGTGGGAACCCTTTACAGCTTACCCAGCTATAAAATCAAGTCATTCAATTTCCTCCTGAAGTTAAGAAAGAAGCAGTTATTCATCCTTACCCAGTAGTTATGCCCTAGTTATTAGCCAGGGTCCTGAGAAACTTCCCTAGATTCTGTGCTTGATAGACAATGGATCTCATGAGATAAAAGCTGACATTCCAAGAGAGGTTAAGGGAGGAGCCACAGGGTGGGTGGCTGTGTGCCTGGAGAGAAGCCCACTTTTTTTTTCCGGCTTTTGCCATAGGGCGTGTGTGCTCACAAGAAAGGCAGAGTCGGTAAGAGGGGAAGTGAGAACTCAACCCTCAGAGGGGAATGGTCATTCCTTCTCCTTTGTTCTGTTCATAGGATTTGGGTTGCACACACCCACACGTACTTGGCATGAGTTTCAATCCACCATATCAAGGACTCAAACTACAGTTGGCATTGTGGGAATCCAGTGCCTTAACTACTATGTCACCTGCTGGCCCAACCCACTTTTAATTGCAGAGGGTGCATATGCTTCCCAGAAAGAGAAAGCAAAGAGAGGAAGAAAAAGTCCTCCCCCTCAATGGGGTATGGCTATGCTGCAGTCCCTTCTCCATTTCTCTATCCCTCAGTATTTGGGGGACACAAATGCACCTGGTGTGTTCTTTAAGTCCCAGGTGCCAGGACTCGCACAGTGGTCAGCCAGGTAGGATCCAGCTCCCTTGACCACTAGGTTACAGGCCTGGCCTGAGAGGCTGACTCCTACTCCTCTCCTGGGTCACCACATCTGCTGGCCCATCTGAATTTCTTCTAGTACAGCCTGATGGTGTCTGTGACATTTCAAGCTTACAGGAACAGTAACAAAGATCAACCATTTATAACCTTTACTCAAACTCACAGATTTTTAACAAGCACCTGATTTCTTTTATTATTTTTTGCTTATGCTTGGTCATTCTCTCTCCCCCTTTTTAAAAAAGACTTATTTACTTAATTTTATTTATTATTATTTTTTAAATTGGCTATAGGGCATGTACACCCTCCACAGAGAGACAGAGAGAGGAAAGTAAGAAAGCAAGTTGCCAGGTCCAGGATTTGAACCACAGTTGGCCATGTGGGGGTCTTGTGCCTTGACCGCCATGCCATCTGCTGACCCCATCTCTCTGTTTTTACACACACACACACACACACACACACACACGAACTGAGGCAGCATCGCCCTTTACCCCTGAATTCCTCAGCAGATATGTGTAAGAGAACATCCTAAGAGCAGGGATGTTCTCCTACATGGCCACTGTATAGTCATCAGTTTCCTGAATTTGCGTGACCACAGTTCTTTGATCTACTGCCCATCGTCCTGGTTTTGTCAATGGGCCCAGCACTGTCCTTCCCGGCACTTATGTCCCTCTACTGTACGGGGTCATTTAGTGTCTCTGGTTGTCATATCATTTCAGCCTCCTTTGGTCTAGAACATTCCCACAGTCTTTCTTTCTTTTATAACATTGACGTTTTTTTAAAAAATTATTAATTTATTTATTTTAATTTGACCAGAGAGAGAGACACACACACAAAAAGAGAGAGAGAAAGAGAGGGAAAGTGAGACAGCAAGCCGTCAGACCCAGGACTCGAACCATGGTCAACCATGTGGGAGAGTCCAGCGCCTTAACCACTATGCCACCCACTGGTCCCCAACATTGACATTTTAAAATACCCTGAAATAGAAGCCTGTATGAAGTAATAGGCCAGACATCGTGTCTGTTGGTGGTGGCAGTTTGCACTGACCTTGCTCTCGCGGAACCCCGTGGAAACATCAGTGATATCCCTGCTTGTCTCCTGTCTTTTCAGGTCTGTTGGCAATGACCACAGTTCCTTTGGACCTCTTTAAGAAGCAGCCTTCTGGACCGCAGAGCTTTACACTGGCTAGCAGGCCACCCTCCGGCAGCTCGGTGTTGGGTTCAGTCACTGCAGAGGTACGGCGTGGCCTCACTATCATTCAGCTCCAGCTCTGGCTTGAGCCATTCAGTGTAAGGAGCATCTGGCTTGCCTCTGGCAGGCTTACCCTTGCTTCAGTGTCAATGAGAAGCTCACCCAGGAAGAGATGTGGTTTTGTACCATGCGTTCTAGGCTTGAGCAAATCCTGCTCACTGTAGTGCTACACTGTGTGCTCACCAGAGAGACACAGAGAAGGTGTGCACACAAGAGGGAAGGTGAGAAATCTTCTACTGGGGTTGGCCACACCACAATACCTTCTCTTCTAGTCTCCTCTTATGATTTTGGGCATGCTTACACACATGCCTGGCATGTTTTTAAAGCCACTGGATCTGGGACTTGTACTGCACAGCTGGCCATGTGGGATCCAACTGCCTTAACAACCATGTCACCGGCTGGCCCCTCACCAGGCCTTGTAAACAAATTCTGTCTGGGTCTCCAGCTTTTGTTCCCCACATCACATGTTCAGTTGGCTGTATTTGAGCTTGGAATTCTTGACTCTGTGTCAATGCTGGGAAAATCCAGGTTAATTGAAACTACTACGTGATGTTAGGTGAAGCCATCAGTGGTTGTTCCAAAAGAAGCCGGAGCTGCACTGCTAAAACACCTCTGCATCTTCCTACAGCACAAGTAACCAGCCTTCTCTGCAGTTTTCTTACATAGAACCTGGTGAATTGAAACCCTGGCGAGTCCCTTCCCCTGTTCCTGCTGCAAAGATAGAGAAGGACCGCACGGTGATGCCGTGCGGGACCGTGGTCACTACTGTCACTGCCGTGAAGACCAAGCCGCGCTTCGATGTGGGGCGGTCGTCCCCACTGCGCTCAGGTGAGACAACAGAGGACACAGTCCCCCCAGGGAGCTCTACACAGTCTCCCTTCTCAGGTCCACATTTTGTGTCTATAAACTGCAGAATCCCACAGCCTACTGCCTTGAGTATTATTCGAATCTCATGGTACAATGTTCTGGTCTGCTCCGTTGCTGATGACAGAAAATACCTGAAACAGATGATTTATAACAGAGGTTTATTTGGCTCATGGTTTTGAGATCTAAAGTCCAGGGGTCACATTTGGTGGATTTTCCCATTGGTGGGATCTTGAAACCATGCAGGGTGTCACACAGAGAGAACGGAAGCATGTATGGTCCTCTCTCTCCTTCCCTGTCCTTATAAACCCACCAGGAGCTGATCATGGGGCCCACCCCTAACCACTCACTCATCACCTCCCAAAGGCCTCATGATCAGCACCGTAACTGGATCAAGTTTTCACCCTCCAATTCCATTGCAGTCAAATCTAAATCCACGTATTTGGGGGAACACAAGCCATCGCACATAGGAATAACAGAAAATCAAGACTTTGCCTGGTTTTGTTGTTTTTGACCAGCTGTCTCTCTGTTATGTCAAATAAATACATGGGAAGTTGAACTAAGGTCTATTTCTCTAGTATATGCGGAAGCGAAAATCAAGATGTTGTAGTTACACTTTGTGGCAATTCCAACCAAGTTACATTTATATGGAGACAGCATGTTCTCCTGAAAAGCAGTCAGTGGTCAGTGTATATTTCATGTTAAAAATTATCTGTTAGAGAGGCCAGCAGATTGTGTGATGGTTAAGGCATTGGACTCCCACATGGCCAACTGAGGTTCGAGCCCTGGACCTAATGGCTTGAAAAATCACATCAGGCATGTGTGCATCTGTGCTCAAAATCCCAAGAGGACTGGAGAAGGGATTGTGGCCATTTCCCCTTGGGGTGATTGCTCACTTTCCCTCTCTCTATCTTTCTGGTGAGCACACATGCCTTATGCCAAAAGCTTACAAAAAAAAAAAAGTCACTTATTAGAAGGCTTCCTGTGCCTTCATTTTAGATCCAGCTGAATTCTGTCCTGTCCCCACAGCCACTGATTAGGAGACAATTTCTGCATAAGTCTCTGCTTATGCAAAAATATTATCTTCCCAGAATAGATCACTCAGCATAGTTGGAAATGCAAAACTGAAAAGGAAATTCTGGCTTAGTTAAAATGTTTCTGAAATTGTATTTAAATCTGAGCTCCCAAAGAAGATAATAAGAGGGATAGTTGCATCTTTATGAACTATAGACCTACAGCTGAAGTGAGAGGTGCCCTCTTATTATTCAGTCACTGTCTATTCCGACGGTCTGGAATGCCCTTTGTAATCAGTATCCTTCCCTGGCAGAGTCTCCCGTGAGGACACCTGTCAAGGTGAAGGTCATCGAGAAGGATATCTCTATCCAAGCCATCTCGTGCCACAGCCCTCCTGTCAGTAAAACATTCTCTTCTTCAGACACAGGTAATGACAGTGCATTCATGTTGTGCTCCCCATGGCACCTTCTGAGCTGTTCTCGGACACGCCCTCATTTGATAAGAAGTAACTGCAGGCAGAGAATCCCTTATCCGGAATACTTGGGGCCAGGAGTGTTTCCTATTTTGCATTTTTTTCAGATTTTGGAATATTTGAATATACACAATGTCATCTTGGGGATGACACCCAAGTCTAAGTGGAAAATTGATTTGTGTTTCATATGTGCCTTATACACAGAGCCTGAAGGCTGTTTGATACAATATTTTTGTATTGCAACATTTTGACTATGACCTATCACATGAGATCAGGTGTGGGATTTCCATTGTGGTATCAGGTCAATGCTCAAAAAGTTTGACTTTTGGAGCATTTTTAATTTTTGGAATAGGGATTCTCAACCTGTAGTTACTTTTTGAATTTGATAAGAGATTTATTTCTTTTCTCTTTTTCTCTTTTTCTCTTCTCTTCTTCCCTTCCTTCCTTCCTTCCTTCCTCCCTTCCTTCCTTCCTTCCTTCCTTCCTTCCTTCCTTCCCTCCTTCCTTCTTAGTAATAAATGTGTAAGGAAAAGGAGAAAAGGGAAATGGAAATCTATCAAAGACCGGGCTCTGTACTCACAGGCCTGGTAAGTTTTAGGGAATACTTACAAACATGAGAATGCAGCTGCGGCTTCACCTCATAAAAATCTCTGAGCTCGCTTTTCCTCTCCTTCAATGCGCTGATTACATGGATACCATCGATAAGAGGGCTCGCGGGACATGAGCATCACAGCCACTTTACCAGCCTCCCACTGTCCCATTAAACCTGGTTGGTAGAGTGGTTCCCCCACCCCTCAGGATGCAAATTCCCATTTTTTTGTGGTCACTTTCAGGTCAGAAACATCATTAAAGGGTTGTCTACTGTCTTTAAACCCATAAAGCAGAAATCTAAATTTAGGAACTGACCTTCCTGACCTGTGTCTGGGGAGGGGCAGGCAGGTGTCTCTTGTTCTGCCCTCCTCTCTGTCTGTTGAGTCTGCTCTCTGGCCTTGCTAAGGGCCAGGACAGGCACGGAGGGCAGACGGGAGAGCAGAGTCCTCATCCGCCAGTCCCGTCTTAGACAGCGGGCATTGCATTCTCTCAGCCCTGGTGGGAGTTTATGAGCAGTGGCTCCTTTACCTTGAGGGCATTTTTATGGTTTTCAGATACTGCCCTGCCAGCCCCCACCTGTGGCTTCTTGGACACAGCATACGCCTCTCCTTTGGCTGGTGCTCTCAATACCTTTGCCTCACTTTCCACGCCCTCAGAAGGACACCCTACCACTTCATGCCACAGGCTAAGATCTCCTTTTAAAAGACGCTGGGTTGTGGCTGCAGTAGTGCACATTGGGTGTTGCCTTCCTCAAGGCCTCGAGCTGTGGAGCAGCTCCATTCTCGACCCACCCTAAAAAGCTGAGTGTGGTAGCACGAGCCTGTCTATGGCAGAAGCTACTTTGGAGGGTGAGGCAGGAGGATAGAGACATTGTGAGACCACACGATGTGCACACACACATACATACATGCATGTGCAAGCATGTGCTTGTGTACACACGATCTTTGCTGATGTTCACACTGTGGATTCCTGTCATGTCCAGGGCTGAGGAGCTAGTCTCCATGGTTCCCCACTGTGTAGTGAGGCACCCTAGCAGCTCTCCCAGGGTGTACCTGGCCTTTTGACTCACTCTCTGAGGCCCACCACGAGCACTGGGTTTGATGCGAGACCCAGCACTACCTGGACCTCTCCCTTGGTGGCTCTGGGAATCCCAATGCACCCTCCTTCCTGGGGCCCTCCTCAAGTCCCCACCTCTGATCCTTCTCACTGTGGTCAGTGGCAAAGCCCAGGCCCACTCCTGGGCTCATATCTGTCTGACACTAGAGTTAGCACAGAAGTTACTTACAGGTCAAAGCTCGGCCCCACAAAGCCACCTCACTTCAGGTGCCAGGCATAATGAGCAGGTTCTCAGGGTCCCCACCCTTCTTCATCATGTGACTTCAAGTCTGGGCTTTCTGTGACCCCTCCTCAGTTTTGATAATTTGTTGTAATAGCTCACAGAACTCAGAGGAGCACTGTGGTCTGTTGATCAGTGCATGACAAAGAATACCAGTGAGGGGCCAAGTGAAGACAAACAGCACAAGGTTAGGCAGGTCTTCCAGAGCTTCTGTCTCCATGGAGTTTGGGGTGCACCACCCTCCCTGTACAAGGATGCGAGCATGGACCTGGAAGCTCCCTGGACCCTGTCATGAGGGATTTTATGGAGGCTTCCTTGTATAGGCATAATCAAGCGCATGATTGGTCACTGGTGATCAGCCCAGCCCAGGACATGCCTGGCTGCCTGACCTTTTCCCCACTTGTCAAATGGGAAGTAAAAATGCTACCCACCTAGGGCCAGCCCAGTGACCTACCTAGTCATTAAAGGAGCTAGATCCCACATGGCCTACTTGTGATTTGAACCCCGTCCTGGTAGCTAGAAAAGCACACTGGGTGCATGTGCATGCATGCCCCAAATCCCAACAGGATGGTGAAATGGAGGAGAAGGGACTGTGGCATGACCACACCTCACTGGGGGGGGGTGCTTTCTCCCCCTCTTTGCCCCCCCACCCCCCCAGTGAATGCACATACACTCTGGTAATTTTAAAAAAATTAGTACCTGACTCTCAGAGCCTGGGAAATGAATGAATGAGGTCCTTTGAAGAACTCCCGCTGCAGCTAGAGCACTCCAGACTTTCAGTTAGGGTGTGGCTTTGTTCGCTATGTGAAGGAGGCATTGCTATTAACTGACCCCTTATAGCTCTGATTACTACTCTATGTGCTTTAACTATTCTTGATAGACAGAAGGAGTAGCTACTTTGCCTTTCAAAGTTCAGAAATCTTCCAAAAGGTTAGAGTTTTTTTTCTTTTTGCTATAGGGCATGTGCACTTGCTGGAGAGGCAGAGACAAAGAGACAGAAAGTGAGAAATCACCCCCCGGGGGATGGCCATGCCACTATCCCTTCTCCTCCATTTTCCTCTCGGGATTTTGATCATGCATGCACGCACAAACACCCAGCGTGAGTTTCATGTCTCTGGGTCCAAGACTTGAACTGTGATGAACAATGTGGGAATCCAACGACATAACCATTATGCCATCTGCTGGTCCCAGGTTAGAGATATTTTTGTTTACTTGTTTTGTTGTTTTTCATCAACTCTATTGTTGAAAAACATCAACTTACATGCAATAAAATGCATGTATTTTAAAAAATATTTATTTAAGTTTATTAATTATTATGATTATTATTTAATTTGGCTAGTGAGAGAGAGAGAGAGAGGGAAAGTGAGAAAGCAAGTTGCCAGGTCTGGGACTCGAACTGTAGTTGGCCATGGGGGAGTCCAGCGCCTTAACCACCACACCACCTGCCAGTTCCAAATGCATGTATCTTAAGTTAACACATCAGTGAGTATCCTGTCACTACCCAGAAAATCAAGTTCAAGACAGAGATTCAGCAAACTATGGCCCATAGGCCAAATTTGAATCATCATTTGTTTTTATAGGCAAAGTTTTATTAGAACCCAGCCATGTACCTTCATTTACATATGGTCTCTGGTTGCCTTCATGACACAAAGGCAGCATGGAGAAGCTGTCTCAGAAACCAGACTACCTGCAAAGCCTGAAATGTCTACTCTCTGGCCTTTTGTTTGCCCATTGGACCAGCCCTGTGGCTAAAGGGTTAAAGGAGCTGGATCCCACATGACAGACTGTGGTTTGAATCCTGGCCCTGGAGGCTTGAGAAACATGTTGGTGCATGTGCATGTGTGCCTCAAATCACAAGAGAATGGAGAAATGGAGGAGAAAGGATTGTGGCATCACCATGCCACAGTAGAGGATGCTTTCTTCCTCTCTCTGTCTCTGTCTCTGTCTCTTTCTCTCTCTCTCACAAGTGCATGTGCCTTCTGGCAATTTAAAAAAAGAAAAAGAAATTGCTCATCACTGTTCATAGACCATTTCTATCACCCCTGAGCATTCCCACAGAAATTTTAATTTTTCACAAATCAACTCAACATACCTTCCTTCTGGCAGAATTGTTGGTGTTGAACAGTTCGGATCCAGTGGCTGAAGTTGCCATCCGGCAGCTCAGTGAATCTTCAAAGCTGAAACTCAAGTCACCACGGAAGAAAAGTACTATCATCATATCAGGGATCTCCAAGGTATTGTCATGGCAGCTGGCGGGATGGGGGGTTGTGGTTCATGCTCATCAGGGACCGGCTCCTTTCCACGCTAGCCCAAGCATGGATCATATCCAGGAAGTTCCATCTAGAAACATCAAATTCTGTTTCTCTCCCAATGTATTGGCTCTGCACAGTTAATCCTTTTTATGAAGGAAATTGGAAAGTGTCTGATCAATGAGGTTAGGGTGTTGAGAGGGTGGTGAATTATTTCAAGAAACATTGTTGAAAGATACAGGAAGACATGATGCAGAACTCCTCTTAGGCGCAGAATGTCCACCCTTATCACCAACCAATTACGGAAACTCTCACTTTCCACATGACACTTTGTGATGCATTTGTTTTTTGCAATGGAGTATATTCCTTTTGTAATCAGAGAAAAATGAAGAGTGGTATAAAAAATATCCCAGTGCCCTTTCTTTCCTTCTCCCGTGTTTCTGTGTAGCAGCTGCTTAGGGCAGGTGGTGCATGAGGCTGTCCCTGCTGCAACCACGAGGTCCAGGCTGCTAGAGAGGCCAGCCCTTCAGGGCAAGGGGCCACCTACAGATGCTTACTTTTTTTTGACATTTCCAGTAAACAAAGAACAGCTGGGAGTTTTGACTTGCAGTAAGAGTTAAAGAAGAATATTTGAAGGTAGAATTTTGGAGGATGGTTTGGATACTGCCAGGGCACAGAGAGGGTGGACAGGTGGACCTGCTGAAAGTCCACTCTGTAACTGCCCAGAGGGGAGCCTGAATGGGATCTGGGAAGTGCCAGAGATGGGCCGCCAGCACTACCATGGTACTCAGAGTATGAAGGCCTTGCCCCAAGTCCCAGTGGTGCCACCTCACAGGCGGCCTTGAGCCTCCCCAAAGTGGGTCACTGCCTCTTGGGTTCCTGCATGTAACTCCAGTGGCAGCCAGCAGGGGGTGGTCTCTGGAAGCTCCCAAGTCAAATGGTTGGGTTTTTCATCCTGGATGAATAAATAAACAAAGATAAGACTCCAAGTAATCTCCTATGTACCTTTTCTAACATTTTATTTTAGAATTGATAGGAATTCATGTCTCTCTCTTTTTTTTCTTAAGAAAGGTTTTTGCTATAGGGCATGTATGGTTGCCAGAAAGTGAGAAATCACCACCACCACCCCCCACCCCAGGGGTGATGGCCATGCCACAATCCCTTCTCTTCTATTCTCCTCTTGGGACCCTGGGCATGCACATACATGTGTCTGGTGTGAGTTTAAGCCTTTGGGTCCGGGACTCAAACCACAGTCAACTACATGGGAATCCAGCAAGACAACCATTACAGGATCTCAGTATCTGCTGGTCCCAGGAACTTGTGGATCTTAATGGTTAATGTTTTCAATCCACTGAAATTATTATTTTTATTGGTGCTCAAATAGTTCTATCTTCAGTCATTGGGTGCTTATGCAAGCTGGCATGTAAGTCAGAAATGCACACTTGTCAGTTGTCTTCCAGCAAAGTCACCTATGCGGTGACAGGCCCATGAAATCAATGGCCTGCCCCTAAGGACCCTCCTGGGCCCCTTCCACTCATGTGCCCACCTTACATGGAACCACTGTCCTAACACTCGGCCCCATAGGTTACTATAACACCTATATATAGACAAACATAATTTATAAAAGGACACAAATCATATATTGATTAATTGCTACTTGCAGGTGACATGAAAGTGCTGTAGAAACAAAGGTTAGAAGACAACTAAGTCAGAAACACCCAAGTGTCTGCCTTTGTCACCATAGGTGCTACCATCCTCTTAGCAGGAAATGCTCATTTCTGCTGGGGGAAGAATTTAATTGCTTCCTAAACACCCTCCACCTACAAGCTCTGGGCCACCCCTTGCTCCCCTGAGCTTTGGATCTCAGGGGAGACCTGCCTTGGTCCCTGGCTTCACAGGCATTGTGACATGTTAGTGCCTCCTGAGAGGGTGATGTTTTGGAACTTGCAGTCTGCATGTTCTGGAGAGGCTTCTCAGGTGCTGCCCAACCTTCCCCTCCTCTGTGTGACCCTTGTCATCTTCCCCACACTCACTTTGCTGCTTGCCCCTGGACAGACCTCATTATCTCAGGACCACGAAGCCGCCCTGATGCTGGACTACGCAGCCTCCATGGACAGTGTCCCCCAGGAGGACACCCTGTCCCACCCAGAGGTTGCTGCAGCCCCTGCCCCACCTGAAGAACACGAGCCAGCCCAGCCCCCACCTGCCCCTGAGCCCCAGGAGAATGACCTGGACCCCTGGGACTTGGAGAAGGAAGCACAGGCAGCAGCATGGAGTGGCCCGGCCCTGCTGGACCCCGAGGGGGACGCACTGTCAGAGAGCTCCCTGAGCGTCTCGGAGCCAGGCACTGCCAAAAAGCATAAAGGTATCCATGTCCTAGCCCTCCAACCTCCTGCCGGGCGGCTTTGCTCTCATGCTGGTTTCCAGGCTAATGTCTAGTTCTCGCCATCTGCTTCCCTTCCTTTGTCATCTGCAGACTTCTCCCAACCTCACTCCTACCCCTCCAAAAACACGCTGTGCTGAATGCTGACCCGTTTCCAGCTTACTGCAGTGGCGGAAGGATGCGTTGAGAATCCTTTTCTGTGTGAGGGACAGGGTTGCCTCTCCTCATTTGGGGTCCAGCTCGTGTTCATACCTAAAGGCATCTCTTCCTCTGCCTGGGCTCGCCTCACCCAGAAGTAGAACTAGCAAGGCTTTCCGGGGGGTCACCCAAACTACAGATGATGATGGAGCCAAAGAGACCCAGAGCAAAGCGGGTGGAGCTGGATCCTCTGCTGGGAAGAACTGCCAGCTCAGCTCATGGTACCACTCACCGTCTCCTGCAACCAGACAAGGCCCAGCCTGCACCTCCTAGATCCATGGTGGAGAAGTGCCCTAGAATAATCAAGTAGATTGACCTCATACATGTGTAGTAACGAGAGGGGGGGCCCTTCTGTTAGAACAATCCCTTCTTTTCTGTTGACATTAAATCAGTTCTTCAGAGCTACACATCTCCAAGTGTGGCAGTTTGGGCCAGACGGTGCTGTGGCATAATGAGAATCCGAGCATATCCGCTAAAGAAGACCTCTAGGGGCTTGGTGTCTAATCTCAATGTGAGACTTCACAGTCCACATAACCCAGCCCCTTATCCTGTCCACCCTATGTGCCCCTGAGCTCTGCCATCCAGGTGAAGATGGGGAAGACACCAGTGCAGAAGGTGGAGTAGGGCTCAGGAAGGCGGCGGAGCCAAGTCATGAGCTAGAGTATGCTGAACATTCCCCCAGCTCTGCCTCCTGCTGGTGCTGGAAGGCGTCTCTGCCTCCCTTCAGAAGTCCTGGGGCCCCTGAGAATATGCATGTGGGAACCAGTCGCCCCTGAGTTCAGAACCTTGGGAAACTTTCTGATTCTTTCTCACCCTTTTCCTTGCTGCCATAAACTTCTGGTTCTTAAACCACGCAGTTTTGTCCCTGAGAGAGGATTGGCCATGGGTGGAGACACTTTCAGTTGTCACACTGGGAGCCCTGGGTGCCACTGGCATCTAGTACAGGCCAGGTGCTGAGCGATACTCAGAGTGCACGGGACAGGCCCACTGGGCAGCCTCACCCCAGAGCCTTCCCCGGTCCCAGCGTCCAGGTGCCAAGGTGGAGACTGTATGGGGTGCCGCACTCCTCCCTGCCCCGTCTTTGCGTCCTATCTCCCAGCCATTGCATGGTGGCCACTCTGTCTCCTGACCCCGCCCCCCTCCTTGCCAAGGCAAAGCAGGATCAAAGGAGGAAAGTTGAAAGTTGAAAGAGGAGAGCAGGAAAGGAGGACATTCCCGTGTAAAGTTCCCAGGCCACTCACCTGTTTGCACCCCTCCTGACCTTGGGGGCGTGATGCATGGGTCCCTGTCCACAGAGCACTTGGGGACCTGTCACTTGATCACCCATCTCTAGGGTAGCCTCCCCTGTGCCTGGTAAACCTTGGCTTGGGTTATGTCAGAGGTCACCCTACTCATTCATATCCTGGCTCTTCTCTGTATTGGGGCCAGAGAAGCCCAAGAGAGTGGAGCTGAGGAGGAAGGGGAGCCTGGGTGAGGCAGAGAAACAGGGGTGTGGTGGGATGTCTTCCCTCTCCTTTCTTGGGCTCGGTGGCCCATTTCCTCTTGTCCTTGCAGAACCAGAGCTCCCCGCCTGCCCTCCATGTTCATTCTGCTATGCCAGGCCTGACTCGCCCTGTCCATGCAGAGACCAGTGTTCTTTCATCTTGCCATCCCTCTGGTTTCCCGTCCCTGGGTTCTGTCCTTGGGCCTATCCCTCCGATTTGTCCCCAGGTCTCCACCCTTGCTGTGCCATAGCCATCCTAGACCTTCCTTCACTGGCTACATGGATGGTGCCCTCTGAAGCTCTGGACAGGACACTGGGGGGTTGCCTCTGGCACGTGCGTTGAGCTCCCTGGGCTTGGCATGTAGGAACACAATGAAGAGTGTAACTGCATAGCGCCTTTCGCTCCTGTAGCCGTGCTGCAGTGATCTGAGGTTCTTTAAAAGGACAATCTTTTAAAAATTGTATTATTGTTATTATTATTAATTTGGCCAGAGAGAGAGAAAAAGTGAGAAAGCAAGCCACCAGGTCTGGGACTCAAACCACAGTCAGCTATGTGGAATCTAGCACTTTAACCACCATGCCATCTGCTGGCCCCATTGGCAACATTTTAAAAACTGATTTCACATCCCAGTGTTTTCTATGAGATTTGTTCTTTAGCATCTTTCTTAGATGATTCTAGGTTATGGGTACCAAATAGTTTTCATTTGCCATCGTAAATTTTTTGAGAATTTTTTCTGTGGTGATATAGGGAGTGGTTCTGTGGCGTTTCCTCTCCTTTTTTAAATGGAAGCTTATGTTTCTGGTTTAGGAAGCCCCTGTATTCTCTGTCCTGGTGAGGTGTTCACAGAAGGCTTCTGAGAGTCTTAGTGCATTTAGAATCCTCCTGGAATTTTACTGGTTAGAAGTGCACACATTGTGCTGCTACGGACAACACACTCCCAAAATGTAGGTATTTTAGCTTGAAAAAGTACCAGGCTGGCCCCATGGCTTGGTGATTATGGAGACTGGATCCCACATGACTAACCAAGGTTCGGATCCTGGCCCCAGCAGCCTGCAAAACCCTCTGGGTACATGTGTGTGCCCCAAATCCCAACAGGATGGAGACATGGAGGAGAGGGATTGCAGTGTGACCACTCCCCACTGAGGAGACGCTTTCTCCTTCTCCCTTTCTCTCTGTCTCTCCATCTCTATCTGGGATATGCATGCATGCCCTCTGGCATTAAAAAAAAAAAGTGTCAACAGAGCTGCCCGGCAATGTGACGTGCTAAACACCGCTCAACTGCACCTATAGACATCGTTAAGGTGGTGAATGTTTCAGTGTTTTTAAACCTCCCTCAATACTTTTGATACCACAGATAAAAATAGAAGTACTTAGGGAGGTTTAAAAAAAGATTAAAATGAAAAAAGAAAAAAAAATGTTCTGCCCCGTGGATGTGTGAGATATGCATCATTTATGTCATATGTGTACCGTGTATATCGTGTGTGTGTGTATGGTGTGTCATGTGTGTTGTGTGTGTCATGGATGGCTCAGAAGCTTATTGCCATTCGTTCTGATGCTGCTCTTGCGTAATTCTTCTTACTTCTCTTCACCTTTGTGCTCATCCCTTTTAACTTAAGAGGATCGCTATGCCCGCCAGAATTAATTGCTACACAGTAAGTTGCTTTTGTCTTGTGTTTTGTAGCCTTCCTATGAGAAAAGTCTTGCCTGCCTGCCTCTGGTCCCCGTGCCTTCCCTCTCCTCCTCTCCAGGCAGCTCTCCCTGCATTCCTAGTTCCTCCTCATAGAAGAGCTCTCCTTCCAGTTAGTGTCATGCTGTCTTCCCACCTCTGGAGGGCGCACCTTCAGTTCCTCAGTTCCCCCATGTGACAAAGCCAGCTTGTTGTGCTACCTGCAGGGAGAAGCTGGTTCTTGCGTTTGCCTCCAGTTCTAAAAAGCACTCACTCTTACAAACCATCAAAGGTTGCCGCTGGAATCTGAAACTGTTCTTGGGGCAGCAAGCTACAGTTCTCAAGGTTGTTTTTGGTCATTGTTTTCCTACCTACTGGATTTTATGACAGATTCATCAGTGAGCTGTTAGACTCTGTAAAGACAAAGGAGTATAAATTTGGAAGTTTTGCAACGTTTGAGCTAGAATTTAGAATAATTGTTTTTTAATTCTTTCATTTATTAGATTATACTTTAGCTTTCTTGTAATTTTTTTTAAACCTTGCTAGAACCGAGGAAAGACTTATTCTCCTCCTTGTCCCCCATTTAAAATGATGGTTATTTGTCTCAAATTTCACATCAGCTCTTTCCAGATGGCATCTTAAGGAATCTTTCAGGTAACGAGTCAAGTCTAGATCTCGCTTATTGCCTGTTGGTGTAGATAAGGGAGCCAGAGATTAAGTAGTCAGGCTTGGTAAAATCAAAACGCTCACAGCTACGCTTACTGAGTTGGTGTGAGCCTCCCTGTCAGCAAAGGGTAGCAGATTCTGTGGGCTCAAAGGCAAGGGAAACAGGGGCCAGCAGCTGGTGTGGTGAAGGTGCTGCACTCCCACATGGCTGACCTCAGTCTGAGTCCCAGACCTGGTAGCTTGCTTTATCACTTTTTCTTTCTCTGTTGAGCACATGTGCCCTGTAGCAAATTAACAAATAATAATGATGTAAATAAAATTAAATAAATAATCACATTTAAAAAAAAGTCAAAGCAGCCATTGATCAGTCAGGGTTCTCCAGAGAAACAGAACCGATGGGTGATGTATTTCAAGGAGTTAACTCTTGTCATTGTGGGGGCTGATCAGTCAGGAGTCTGCAGGACAGACAGGCAGGCTGAACACTCAGTAGGACTGTGTACTGCAGTCTTGAGGCAGAATTTCTTCTTCCCCAGGAAACTTCAGTTTTTCTATGACCTTCAACTGATGAGACAAGGCCCACCCATCTTATTTAGGGTAACCTCTTTTCTTAAAGGCCATTGAGTGTAGAGGTTAACTACCTTCATGGCAACACCTAGGTTAGTGTTTGAATCACTGGGCACTGGGGCCGAGCTGACAGAAAAAAAAGCCATTACAGCCACTGTCTGTTGAGGCAGGCAGGCAGGTTCAAAAGATGTGGGCTGAATCCAGCATGTTCCGGGATGGGAATGCCATCCTTCCCTCTGTTCTTGGTTCTACGTGGCTACCAGGGTTCTCAGGACTACCCAGGAAGACCCGATGGGCTGTGTCCGGACCCTTATCTGAAGCCAAATATCTTCCTCACTGTTTCTGGCTGTGTTTGTTTCCTAGGACTACAGCAGAACCAGGAACTGTGTGGTTTAAACAGTGGGAATTTAGTCTGTCAGCTCCAGAGGCTGGAAGTCCGAGGTCGAGGTGTCAGCAGGGCCATTCTACGGCAGCTCTGAGGGAGAACCTGCCCCAGGCCTCTCCCCAGCTTCTGGGATGGTGTCGGCAGTCTTTGTTGTTCTGGACTTTAGACGCATAGCTCCAACCACCGTCTCCATCTCCACGCGGCCATCTCCTTGTCTCCCCATTCATCTTCCCTCTGTGTGTCTGTCTGCTTCTAAATGTCCCCTTTTTATAAGGACACCAGGCCTATTGGGCTAACGGCCCCCATAAGGCCTCATTATAACTTGGTCACATCTGCAAAGACTGTGTCTCCAAAGTTGGTCCTGGGATTCAGGACCTCAGCGTAGGAATTTGGGGAGTCCATAGCCAATACTACTGTCCATGCCTACTCCCTGGTCCCTGGCTCCAGACCCCAGCCTAAGGTTTGTGCAGGGAATGCACTTTACTGCCAGGGGTTCTGAGAACTTAGGTCTGCAGTTGGCTATGGGAGGGGAGGGGGATTTTTTCCTTCCCCCACCAGGCATCTGTTTTCTTGCGGGGAGTGAGGTGGGGAGTGAGTGAGAGTAATCAAGCTAATGTAGATCTCCTCAGCTCTGTCTTCCTCTCCCCATTTTCTCATGCCTGCAGGGATTCCCAGATCAAACTGCAGCTGAGTGCCAAGGCAGGCACCTACAGAAGAGAAATACCTCCTAAGCCCCTCCTGTGTCCCACCCCCACCACCCCCAGGTAACCTGGCCAGGCTCAAGCCACCTCAGGCTGGGCTTCCTCTGCCTGGGATTCCCATCACTGTGCCAGACATTTCCCCAGCAGACACCACCAGATTCACAAGTAATTGACCTCATGGACACCACTGCGTCCGCCCCACTGGCCAAACTCCAAAGTCACAGCAGTTGGTGGTCAGTTACAGGCACACCTACTGTAACACAGCCGTATTTTTTTTTTAGCTTTGTTGCATTTGCCAGGGCCGTGGGTCAGTCCGGGAGCTGACATCTATGTCCTGCAGACGTAGTTCACTGGGCTTGCAATGACAACACAGTCACCTCCTTCTTCATTCCCTTCACAGAACACAGCCCAAAACTTACTCCCCAAAGAATAAATATTATTTTACTTTCCAAAGAAAGGGAATACCTTTGCTTTCAGAGTCCTTGCTTTGGTTTTAGGAGCATGACCGTCCTTTCTGGGGGTCATGCTGCCTTGCTGCATATAGTCTCCCTAATGAAGGGAAGTGGGGTGGCCTGAGGTGATAGCAGGCCACTTGGCCTTGGCTTGACTGGAAAGTGATGCACACACCTTCCTGGGGGTGGCCACCCATGCTCGCTGCTGCTGCTGTTATAATCGTCGAGTCATTGCATCTCCAGAACTCCAGTTTTCTGCAGGGCAGATTCCAGTTGTTTCTCCCATGCGAATAGCAATAGCATGCCAAAGTAGTAGCGTGGTTCTTCAGTGGAGGCATTCTCACTCCCCTTGTCCTCTTCCTGTTGGCCATTCAGCACTTTGTCCACAGCTGACCTGACCAGTCCCCTGTGCTTTGTTCTTTCAGGGGGAATTTTAAGGAAAGGTGCGAAGCTGTTCTTCCGCCGGCGGCATCAACAGAAAGATCCAGGCATGAGCCAGTCACACAATGACCTTGTGTTCCTACAGCAGCCTGAGGGGGCCCGGAGGAAGGGGGCCACCCTCACCAGGATCCTGAACAGGAAGCTGCTGTCCAGGCACCGAAGCAAGAATACCATGAATGGTGCCCCTGGGGAGCCCTGCACATAGTCCCAAGGTTGGCCCTCTTCATACAGAGCTGGAAGCCGGGTACCCGCATTACAACCAACCCTCACCGGGATGGAGCGAAGTGTCAATGAGCTGTCAGAGGGCTGACCGCTTGTCTAGCTCGGTTTTTTCCTGCAATCTAGTCTTCTAAAAGGGGGGAAAAGAGAAAAAGGAAGTGTGAGGCTTCAGCCCAAGAGGCTTCCTCCAGGGAGGACTGACTAAGTCCAATTTGCCACCAGATGTCACACAAATCCTGACGGCCCCACAGCTGGGCTGCACTCAAGTCTAAGAGTTTCAGTAAAATGTTAGGGGATTTATATCATGAGTGAGCTAATACGCTCCAGTGAACTGTGGAGGTGCAGGCTGGGGACGATCAGTTTTACCCCCTCTACACTCTTCACAAGTATTGCCTGGACTACGTCACAAAGAGGGGGTGCTCCTTCGAGCCGTCACTGTGAAGGAATGGACGAGTTGCCTCTCGTTCGCTGCTCAGAATAGAAATGTGCAGGGCGGTGGGACGCAGGCAGGGTTTGTGATAAACTGACGAATTATGACAGGAGTGGAAATGCTGTGATTAAGCATAGGAAGACATTTGCCTTTGATATCAGACATAGGACTTGGTCACTTACACAGACACTACACGCACCCTATGCATATACTGCTGAACACTTTTCTCACTTTACTTTGAGCCTGCTTGCAGGTGGGAGACATATAAATTCTTCTGTGGTTTTCACACATTTCTCTATTGTGTCAGAAGCTCTAATAATACCAGCCGAGCAGCTGACACGCAAACTTTTTTGTCCTGTCCGGCATCTTTGCTATACAAGAGCATAGCCATCTTGGCAAATGGCATTAGGAGCAATAAGTGACAGCTGATAGAACGTGGTAACTACACACACCTATGGTTTCTGCCAAATATTGCTAATAGCCAAAACGGAGTCCTTCCAGGGCAATAGAGGAAATTATTTTGTGTCTCAGGTGTCAGTCTTAGGAATGGACATTTAATGACCCATGGGCCGATCTTGCCTAAAATTCCTTTTATGAATTCTTCAAACGTTGCTGGTGAGCAGCGCTCATGGACACCTTTGGGATGCCCTTGTCTGGATTTCCAGTGGAAGAAAGTGATATACTTGGCCCACACTTTCACTGCTCCTATGTCTTTTCAGACCACTTTCCTCATCAGATGCCTTTCTACTTGGTTCATGCCCAGTTTGCACTCTGACCCATTCCTTGTTAAGTGTGCCACTTCTAGGAGACTTCCTTGTTAAAGAGTCCATGTCATGAAATGTTTGACAGTTCAATTAAGATTCATTTTCCCTGAATAAGATTTGAAAGACTGGGGCCAGCAGGTGGTGTGGTAGTTAGGTACTAGATCCCACATGGCTGTCTTTGGTAGTTAGGTACTGGATCCCACATGACTATCTTTGCTTGAAAATCACTCTGCACGTGGTGTGCATGCCCAAAGTCCCAGGAGGAAAATGGAGGAGAAGGGATTATGGTGTAGCCATCCTCCTGGGGGGGAGGGGTCACTTTCCCTCTCACTGTCCCTCACCATCTTTCTCTGTCTCTCTCCAGTGAGTATACACACCCTAAGGCAAAACCCCTTAGAGAGAGAAAAAAAAAAGATTTGAAAAGCTGTCATGAATACTTGACCTCTGCCATGGATGTGTAATTGGGTGAGCACTTTCTGGTAGGCTCTTTTGTTCATCCTTGAACATTTACTCTTTCAGGGATCATAGAGCCATCGAGAAGCAAAAACCTTCGCAAAAGCCTGAATGATAGGATTTCTTTTTTGGAGGGAGAGATCCAAAAACTACATTAGGAATTTCACTTTCAGATGCACAGATCACTTACGTGTTGCAGGAATTATCGAGAGACTCTAAAATGACTTTTCACCATAATTTGTTTTTAAAGGTTACATTCCAAGTTTCATCATTGTAAAATAGCAACTGGGGTCCCACCATATGGTAAGATCAAGTTAGTCCCCATACTTAGTAATCACTACTAGTCTTGGACTGGATGGTCACTGTGAGGCTTTGTTGTCCCTGAAGTCTTACTGCTTATGGTCATGTGGTAGACAGAACCATGACTGTGCACATTAACTCAAAGTGGGTGTCGTGTTGGAATTTCAGATGCCGATCAGAAGTTTTCAGTAGTGTGTGTGTGATTGATTTTGAAATTCAGGTGGACTTGATTTAGTCCAGTGTAAAGATACCAGAGTTTTAGCTTACATGTCTGCAATCTCTAAAACAAAATGTTTTAACTCTCCCATTCTGTGGTTAACCCCATGAGCCTCTCTTCACTGATACCTGTGTTGTGTCCATCTGATGGCCTTTTCTGAAGTGATGGAACACACTGATGTAGCAGGGAGTCTAACTATGAGGAAGTGGGAGAGGACATTCGGGAAGCAGGAGGGACACACCAGGAGAAAATGGGCTGTATCGATACTGTGAATGGTTCTTTTCCAAGCTGTTTTATCCAGGTTCATTTTTTCCGTGGTGCAAGGCATTTTTGTTAAAGTAAATGTCACTAAGGTTGAATACCAATTAAGATTATACACCAAACACTACTAACACTGTGTGTAAATCACCTTTATTCCCTTACTTCTTCTGCTGAACTTGAGTGGCATTAGGACTTTGGTTTTTAGATTTTGTCTTGAAAGTTTTGTAGAGTGGCATTTGAAAAGCGATTCCTCATAAACACTAATATCCATGCCTGTGTCTCTGGAACAGGTGTTCAAGTTGGTTTGAGCCCAAATTCTTCCCTGTTTGTTTAAGGGTGTGTCTGCATTCTTGAGGGGAGGGGGACGAAACAGCTTTAAGTATGTGTGTGTGACTGCAGCTATAACAAAAGTAGCAATCTTGTTCTGGTCAAAAATCTGCTGTGAGGAAGAGGATTTAGACAGAGCACTTTATTTTCATCAAGTTTCAATTTAAGTTGAAAACCCACCCTTGATTCCTTGGGATTGCCACCTGGCCAGGGCTGCCAACCAATGATGAATGAGGCGCCTGTCTCCACGTTTGTGGGGTTTACTGGCCACATCTATAGGAGACAGTTGCAGATTTTCTTCTTGAGCAGAAAAAGGAAAGACTCATTTATAACACATGCTGCACCGAGAGCAGTGTCTTCGGGGTAATAATCTCACACCTCTCGGTCTGGAAACCTCAGAACACAATTGGTGGACACTGGGCATCAGAATGTGTATCTCCATCAGACAGGAAACTGGTCTCAGGGCTGTGTGGACACCGAGGCCATGTGGCTCTCCACTGTCCAGACCACCAAGACGTGATTACCAAAGCAGCAGGCAGGGGACAAGGACACCACTGAATCCTGCAAAGCAAACTCAGGTTCCCTTGGTCCCTTATCTTTAGCATTCCTGTTTTTGTCTGAGGAACATTCAGAACATGGGACACTGCTCAGGTCACTCAGCTCACAACTGGTCAGTAATGTTCCAGTATAATTAGGCTTGTAGGGTTTTTTTTTTTTTTTTCTTCTAAACGTCGTGTCAAACCTACATTTAAAAAAGAGAAGAAAATAAAACGCTTTCCAGGTATGTGGAAAAGTTTGCCTTGATGCTGAAGTGGGGTGACAAACTTACACGACAATGATTGTATTCCTCGGTTGCACTTTACAGAGGCCCGTGCACTGGGACTGTGTACTCAGCACGGGGCAGGTTACTTTGGAGATGTGGCTGGAGTGGGACAGAGCTGCGAAGAAATAAACGAGCACATGGAACACTACCATGAGTTGTTCTTACCGAGTCTCATGCTATGGCCTTCTCGAAGGCTCTCTGATGGTCTTTATTCTGTCATGTCATTGTGTGGCTGGCCATCATGGTGGCCAACAGATGCGAAAGGAAAGGCCTGTCTGTTCCTGCTTAATTCTTGGCAAAAGACTTTCCCCTGACATTCTTCTCGTGTGATTTTAAAGCCTGCCTGGGGCTGGGGTTGAAACTGCGTGGGAAAGGAAGTCTGCTCTCGCAGTGAACTTTCAGGGCATGGTGAATTGTGGCTGCTGTAAGTCATGGTGTCTGAGCCTGGGGCTCCGTGGCAGAGCCTGGTGTGAGGTTGCTCATGGAGGTACACTGGGAGGTGATGGAGGGTGCAGGGATGTAGCCATGGGAGTGAAAACAGTGGGGTGGAGGAACATGGGGTGCATTTCAGGTTGTTCACTAGAGGGGCTACTGGTGACCCCAGGACCTTCTGGAGAGCACTGCCCACTATAGGGTAGAAGAGGGAGCACTGAGCCATCTATAGTGCTCTTGTCAACACCTCACCTCTGTAGCCTAGTCGGAGCAGAGGGGGACAGGCGCCTGGCTCAGCCACAGGTGCCACGAACATCTGCACGTGGTCTCAGGGTTCCTGGAGTGGGGGGGCAGAGGGTTCGGAGGGTCACAGCCTGTCCTGCATGGCCCCCTGCAGGCACCTCTTCTCCTTCATGGTCATCAGTTTCTTCAGTCCCAGTCCTACAGGGCACAGACACCAGAGCATTTGGAGAACCACACTGGAATTATGGCTGGCCCCCACCCCTACCCTCCCCATCTCCAGCCTTCCTCCCAGCTGCCCTGCCCCCACCTGTCTGCTAGACAGGCATCTTGTGTGTGTGTCGGGTGGGGGAGTTTGCTGTCACTGTCCTTTCAGGGGTGGATTGGTCACTCCAGGGCATAGCCCAATGCACAGCTTTGTGTTTCAGAGGCGTCTTCCGCTCGTGGAAAGTAACCTTAGCCCTTGGAGGGCAGCCCATGCTTTCCAGCCCAGATTCCAGACGCCCCCCTCGGCTCCTTGCTCACTGCCAGGTGGCTTCTCATCTGGGATTAGAAGTGGGCTAGGATTGGCACCAGCAGGTAGCATGGGGGTTAAGGTGTGGACACTCCTACTTGCTGACCATGATTCAAGTCCCCTACCTGGTGGCTTGCTGTCTCACTTTTCCTCTCTTTTTTGGTGTCTCTCTCTGGTCAAATTAAAATAAAATAAGTGAATAAATAAAATTAAATAATTTTAAAAAAGAGTGTTCTAGGATCAGGTGACTGAACCTGCTTCCTCTGTGCTGTGGCTTGACTGAGTCCCTATAAAATTTGTGTCTTGAAATCCAGCAAGCCTTTGTAACTGTGTTGAGAAGGGAGACTTAATCTGATCATGGTGGGGACCAGCAGATAGCATAATGGTTACATTGCTGGACTCTCATGTAGTTGACCATGGTTGAGTCCTGGACCCAGCGGCTTGAAACTCATGCTGGGCACGTGTGCGTATGCCCAAGATCTCAAGAGGATAATGGAGGAGAAGGGATTGTGATGTGGCCATCCCCCAGAGGGTGATTTCTCACTTTCTGTTTCTCTGTCTCTGTCTCTTCAGTGAGCACATGCACCCTATAGCAAAAATTTCTCTTCAAAAATAGAAAATGCGGGGAACCAGCAGTTAGCGTAATGGCTATGTCGCTGGACTCCCACGTAGTCGACCGCGGTTCGTGTCCCGGACCTGGTGGCTTAAAACTCACGCCGGGCGCATGTGCGTGCGTGCCCAAGATCCCGAGAGGAGAATGGAGGAGAAGGGATTGCGGCGTGACCATCCCCCCGGGGGGTGATTTCTCGCTTTCTGTCTCTATGTCTCTCTCTGTCTGTCTGGCGAGCGCGCGCGCCCTACAGTGAAAATCTCTCCAAAAAAAAAAGAAAATGCGGAGTGCTCACAGAAAGGGGCTGGACCCAGGAAGGATGACCTCCCTGGTGAGAATGTTGCTGAGGCTGGTGTGAGGTTGCTCATGGAGGTACACTGGGAGGTGATGGGAGGGTGAATGGTGACCTAGAAGCGTTAGTTTTCAAGCACTGGCCATGACTCCTGGCTCTGTCCCACAACTGTTCATAGTAGAAATTGCCAAGTTGCCCCCTGCATGTGACAAGCAAAACCAGGGGCCTATCTACCTGTATATTTGTACTGATGTCATTGACATAAAGCTGATGCTTAGTGCCTCGGTCACCCTTATAGGAGGGTTGTTAGCGGGTGTTCATTGCTGCTTTACTAGGTCGGGCACGAGACTAAATTCAAGAGTTGTAGATACTTATATTCTGGCTGGGTAGCAAGCACAGCTTTTATAAGAAAGTTAGGGGAAGACTGAAGTCAAATAATAGCTACTCTAATTGAACACTTTGTGCCAAGATTGTTTTGCAGTGACTTATGTCCTCTTTGAAACAATTCCATTTCAATCCAGCTCAGCTTTCCAAATGAAGGAGCTGAAGCACAGAGAAGCTCAGTGACTTGTCCAAGGTCATACAACTGATAGGCGTCAGAACCCCAATTTGTTTTTAACTTTACTTATTATTATTATTATTATTAATTTGGGAGAAAGAGTGTGAGAAAAAGTGAGGAAAGCAACTCACCAGACTTGAACTATGGTTGGCCATGTGGGAGTCTAGGG